TGCGATTAAACGCAAAGTGTTTTGCGTTTAAACGCAATATACATTGCGATTAAACGCAATCTTTTGCGTTTAAACGCAATGATTATTGCGATTAAACGCAATGTTTTGCGATTAAACGCAATAATTATTGCGTTTAAACGCAATAAAAAATAGTTCTTTCTCTGAATTGGCCTCAACGGGCTTCCGTAGATTACAACTGTGGAAACTTATTTTATTAAAGCAATATGAGCTGTATTTTTGGAAATTTTATTTTGCAGTTAGAATGTGCTTTTATGATAAGTCTCTAAGTAACTCATAAACCCTTATGATTAATTAGATGAAGATAAAGTATTAAATTGTTTCAGAAGAAATATTGTACTATGGAATGTATAGTATTATCAGGGACCTATTTACTTACTAAACTTAGCATATAGGTCTCTGGTATTATATAAGAAATCAATATTGTACTAGTACTGGACGACAATAATGTAATTTTGCTTCAATCAAAGATTATAAATACATGTGTAGATCTTCCATTGCAAATATGAACAAAAGAAATTCGTAAATGTTCTTTTTTCTACGGAAGCCCGTTGAGGCCAATTCAGAGAGAGAAATATTTTTTATTGCGTTTAAACGCAATAATTATTGCGTTTAATCGCAAAACATTGCGTTTAATCGCAATAATCATTGCGTTTAAACGCAAAAGATTGCGTTTAATCGCAATGCATATTGCGTTTAAACGCAAAACACTTTGCGTTTATTCGCAAAAGATTGCGATTAAACGCAATCTTTTGCGTTTAAACGCAATACTTTTGCGATTAAACGCAATAATTTTTGCGTTTAATCGCAATGATATTTTTGCGTTTAAACGCAATACTTTTTGCGTTTAAACGCAAAAATCTTTGAGTTCAATGGCAATAATCTTTGTGTTTAAAGGCAGTCATTTGTATCAAACCTTGCAGAGAACAATGGACCCACGCATACTTATATCTTTTATTTCTTTCTCTTTTTACTTATTAGGAAATTGTGTGTTGTCTTTATAGAATCAGATTTCTCCGAGAAAACACTCTCTGAAAGGTAAATCACTAATAAGAATTTATAGAGGAGAAAAAAATGTCGGGTTGTAAAAACAAAGGAATCCTAAGAACGAGACATGTCTTAAGCTTATTCTCTACATTTTTAATGAAGTTTCGGTCAGTTGTTCTGCTAAAAAAAACTGTCCCATACGTTGCAGTCACAAGTTTAAATCATGTATAAAGGGATTTTGGAAAGGACGGAGGAAATGTTGGAATTACGTACAACATGATGAAGTATTTAGACTTCAATGTACATTCATAACCCTTCCTATGGTTGCATACAGTAAACACAAGAACATATGTAATGGATTTATATGAGGTCAAAATCAAAATCGAATGAAAACAGATTGATCCATGTGTACTACATGTATCAAATTGACAAGTGCTATTAATACCACTGAAACTTTCTCTATAAGTTATGATACACGTAAGCAATTGATCAGAGACTTCATTAAGAGTTTTGGGTTCTAACACATTTAAGACATTCAGGTTGTTAGGATGCCATTGTTTTATTACAATTTTCAAAAACTGGAAAATTTTGCAAAAAGACACAGAACAAATCGGATCTTCTTAAGTTGAAGTGTCGGGTCCTAGTACATGTAATTATAAGCTTTGACTAATTCATGTTTGATTTTGAAACTACAGTATCATTGTGTTTAAATGCAAAACAAATCCTTGTAAGGAAGGATTATTGCGTTTAAACGCAAAGATTATTGCGTTTAAACGCAAAAATTATTGCGTTTAATCGCAATACTATTGCGTTTAATCGCAAAAACTATTGCGTTTAATCGCAAAAACTATTGCGTTTAAACGCAAAAATTATTGCGTTTAAACGCAAAAGATATTGCGTTTAAACACAAAAATATTATTGCGTTTAAACGCAAAAAGTATTGCGTTTAATCGCAAAAGTATTGCGTTTAAACGCAAAAGATTGCGTTTAATCGCAATCTTTTGCGATTAAACGCAAAGTGTTTTGCGTTTAAACGCAATATACATTGCGATTAATCGCAATCTTTTGCGTTTAAACGCAATAATTATTGCGTTTAAACGCAATAAAAAATATTTCTTTCTCTGAACTGGCCTCAACGGGCTTCCGTATTTTTCTGTGTCATTGCAATAGTTAACTAAAATTTTGTAACAAAAATTTTCGACATTAAAGTTGCAGCTCTGATTTGTTTTATCACATGCTTTAAATGTGATAAAACAAATCAAAGAATCTACGTACAAGTATTCTTGCTCTAAGAGTAATACATGTAGATCATCATTATAGCCTCGTTAGGTTTTCCTTTAATGGGGATAAAACATCTTGTATTATTAATGTAAAGTACAGTATATAACTGTCCTTCCTGAAATACTTTTATTTTGACAAATAAAATATACAACATGATCATCGTATATTTTATTTGTTAAAATAAAAGTATATCAAGGACCTTTTTTTTTTTTTTTTTTTTTTTTTTTTTTTGTCATTTGAACTTTGAAACTTTTAGAAATGGACACTTCATATCATAAGGCTGCATGATTTAACCCATATGTATATATTTGCCTAACAAGAATTTTTATTTTTTCCTACCAAAACCACGCATTTTTTTTTTTTTTTTTTTTTTTGGTATCAAAAAAATGACACAGGGTCATTATTCTACAGGGTCATTTTTCTACAATCCACATGGAGAAAAATGACCCCAAGGCCATAATTTCTACAAAATGTGGGTCATTTTTCTACGTATAATATTGACCAGTGGCATAGCCAAATGATCCCCGGTCAATTTCCTACGTATACAGGGGTCATTTTTCGTCGTTACACTGGCGTGAAGAGTCGTGGTTCATGTCCTCATTAATTCTCAAAAATTAAATTCATCTCTTAGATAAATAATGCTTGTAAATTAATCAATAAAAAAATAAAATGAATTACATGCAGTTCATGTATGTGTATATTTCAATAAGAGAAACATTTTAAGGTTATTATTTACATACAAGTAGAGAAGTATACATGTAAGAAGTACTTATAACAAAGTGTTTTTAAAGCTTTGTCTGAGTGAGGAATTTAGATTAAGTGTTATTAGGAACATGCAGTAAAGGTACATGCACAACGGATTAAAGTAGATACAAAAATGTGTCAACTACTACTGAACTTATACGTGTATTACAACTAGAAGAAATATTTTTATCTCATTGCATGTTCATTGCAATGCATGGGTTAGCCATTCCTATCGGACATGAGAAATATCAAGACTTTAAATAATCCTGACATATTACTTTACAGATGAAAAAACTCAGATGGAAACAGAATTTACAACAAAAACCAAAATTAGATGGAGACCAAAAAGTAAACCCGGGTAGCAAACCATGCAAGGATCATACAACATGTGACTACATGTATATACGTTTCAGGGTCTGAAGTTTTTGGTGACAATTTACATCTAAGTGTGAGGCATCCATCATAAAGAATAATTTCTTGTCTCAGATTAAAATACTACTATTTCCTTCAATTTAATTTGTTTCCTAAAAAAATGATTTCGTATTTGATGTGTAATACATGTACTAGTATACCGCAACTCTTCCAGATAAAATTATTTTTCAATCGTATGAAGAAACTGCAAACAATTAATTCTTCATTTGATGGTATTGTATCCATAAAATCAATCTAATTAAAATCTAATTAAAACTAGATGTTCCGAATCCGCTACCGCTTCTCAAACGAGAAGCGGTAACGGATTCGGAACATCTAATTTTAATTAGATTGCCATAAAATGCACTTCAAATAGCTGCAATGTTTTTTTTTTTTTTTTTTTTTTTTTCAACGTAGCAATTTTCAATGAAATATAAAGTGAGAAAAAAAATGATGACTCACTTATGACCAGATACATATGGACTGTGTGTTTTATAACTATGTTGTCTTAATCTTTCTAGAGAGAAAGCTGCTTTGAAATATATGAGTGAATGAATAAGTTGTATCAAGATCGTAAAGAGAATTGAATGACTCATATTGAATTTAATTTCCTAATAAATACATTGCAGCCAAGCTCAGAGGGCAACATTTTAAATCACTCTATCCAGAACTTTTTTTGTGTTTTTGTACATATACATTAACAACTCATTGACCAAATTGCAGCGAAATGAGGTTAAGTATAAAAGTGTATATAAAATTATTTGTTTACTGGTATTCATATTTTCTAGATCAGCATTTAAACATGCTAAAATTCCTGTGTTAAGTGCAAAACAAAACCAAACAATACCAAAAAAAGAAGAAAAAAGAAAAACAAACAAACAAAAAAGAGAAATAAGTTTCAATTTCCTTCGGTCCATCGGGCACTTGATCATCATTTCGATCGTTTGTTCAACGAAACTTGAAGCTTCAGTGCTGAAACATGGCGGAAATATAAGTAAGCTTAATTACAGGTATAATTTTTTCGCAGAGTTTCGATAGTATTTCAGCCATGTAAAAAAACTTTTTTTTAATCCAATATATCGCAGCAAAATATAAGCCTGGATGCATAATGTGTGGAGCAAAAAGTCGAATTTTCATTTTAAAAAAGATCTGCTTGCCAATGATTTAAAATTCGCTTACTGTACCTAAACCCAGCTTGAGACTAAAATTCCAGACCAGAGAAATAACTTGCAATTAATAATTCGATAGTGCAAATCCTATGATACAATCATTTAAAAAGATTAAACTGTCTTAGAATTGATTTTTTTTCTTCCTTTAAGAGTCTTTTTCTTCCGATGGTTTATCTTACAGGAAATATAATATCCGTGAAAACACTTGAAAAGTCACTTTGGGAAGTACATGTAGGAGTAAATATATTTGGAAGTCCTAGTGCTTTTTTTTCGGGAATTGATAAATGCACATCAAAATCAGTGGTGAAAGAAAAAAATCAATCATATGTTACTATCTATTTGATAGTTCATTCAATTCTCAAGGCCATATTATCAGTCAGCCTGTTCTAAGGGTGATTTCCAGTCGGGTTCGGAATCCTGACCAAGCAGGTGTTTTAGAACATGTCTGCGCCCATGAGTGTTGCTAACGCCGCTGCGAACGGCGATCTAACGGTAAATACTCATATGTTATGAAAATTAAGACATTAATTTTTGATTCATATATATTCTAATCATTTTCTGATGTGTAATAAGTGTTATATTTTTCTTTATTTCTTTTCTGTTTAAATTTTATCCTCGAATTTCCTCTTTTCAAATTATAACATACATGTACATGAGACAATTAAGTAAACTTTAGAGTGTTGATAACCTCATAATATTTCTGATATACATATACAGAGTAATATACATCCATGGAGTATACATTAGAATTTATTCTATCCATTTTAAGACGTAGATACCAATGGATGTAAACTCAGATATCACGTAGGAAATATTGCCTTTGTGTTTTGCAGCTCTTGAAACAAATTCTGAGACAGGGTGCAAATGTTAATGAGAGGTCTAAAGATGGGATGTCTCCACTTGCGCTGGCTGCTTTCTGGGGATATGCAGATGTGGTTGAATGTCTGTTAAAGCAGGGGTATTTCATAATATTTTATAAAAAAAAAAAAATACAATGACTCCATTTATATCACCAGCTCCCTTGAATGTGTGACTAGAAACCAAACAAAGAAAAATTAATCGTCCAAATGAACTAGTACTCCTAAAATCTATACAGAAGCACAGTAAACGAAGCAACCTGGCATGTCATGGCAAGGTCTGGTTTACCCAGAATTCACAATTACTAGTCTGAATAAGACATGATAGCCAAAATTTACAAATTAATGTGGAGTCTTAAAATTCAGCAACTTAACAATTACAAACAATTCCAATATCAATTATGGTATGATTTATTCAAATTTTCTCAATTTTATGTATTGTTACTTTCACTTTGTAATCTTTTTTGTGATTAATTAATTTTCATCTACATCTTTGTTACAATTGTGTATAACAATTCATGATGTTTGTGTAAATGGCAATATATATATGTATACATCAGGCCCATACCTTAGATAGTAGTGCACCTGCATAGTAAATGGCTTATTCTAGTCCAAGTCAGACTGACAAAGATTTTTCTTCTTCTTACAGTAAAAATTCAAGAACAAAAGTTATGGGTTGTTTTAAAGAGTCTTTGTAAGGGTTTGTAGGTTAAACCTCAAGAAATAATTGGTTAAAGTGTGAATGGAATTGGGTTTTATGTCCATATAGCTCTAGTTCTATAGCACTTGAATTGTGGTTAGTGAGAGGTTATAGATTAGTCCAAGTTCAGCTAACACTTTCCCCTTCAAATTAGGCTTTGAGCAAATGAAGTATTTTACATTATAGTTTGAGTATATTAAAAAGCTAAATTTGAACAACTAGTGTAATACACTAAATACCGGATTCAGTGTCTTATACACCTAGTTAATTCTAGAGATATTTTACAGATATTATAATGCATTTATTATTTTTTTACCATTGTATTAATAGCAATACAAAGATTGATTTTAAATTTTTAACAAATTATTTCAGAGCGGATGTAAATATTTGCAACAAAGGGACACAGTGGACTGCCCTGCACTGTGCTGCCTTCCAAGGACATGGGAAAGTAATCATGAAACTAATGGAACATCATCCGAATACGGAGCTGAAAGACAACCACGGGAGGTAAATATTGTAGGGAAAATGTGACAAAAGTAAAGGGTTCCCTTTAAAGTGTGACAATAGCAAACACCTGTAACAGGTATTTATCTTCAAGAATTGTGTATAACTAGACTGAAAACTGTCAGTTTTGGCATTTGAAAGATATTTTAGGGTGGCTTCACTTCTAGACAGAAAATCTTTTAGGACTCTAACAACATCTGTACATTCCATTTTTGATTTTTGGGTAGATAACTAAAGGCATTTCTAACATTGTTGATGGAAAGAACAATTTTTTTAATTTGTATTTGCTTCTTAGACATTGGGGGATGACAATAACATTTCTGTTACACAAGCTATAATTGAGTAGTTTATAATTAATACAATGTCATGTAATTTTGATAATTTCTCTAGTGAAAGACCTTGTTTTATCTTGAACATTAACACAAGTTCATCTTTTAAGCAATTCTCATCCTTTTTTCAAAATTTAAGCAAGAGTAAAGTAAAATGGAAGGATTTTATAGAAGTTAAATTGATATTTAATATATTTTTAATATGACCGGATGTTCTTCATTTGTAGTGATCTTTTTTATTACAGGACTGCAGTTGACTTTGCCTCAGCCATGGATGCTATATGGCCATTCTTTGCAGGTATGGATTTTATATGAAAAATAATTCGGAGATGTCAAGTTTGAAAAAATTACATGTACAACTCTTTTTTAATATATAACATCTTTCCAAATGCTTTTATAAATTGAGTTGATTAATGGTAAGAATATCTTAGCAGTTTAACTGTTAACTCTTGTCATTCATATGATTTCAATTTGTAGCTGCTGGCTGCAAGAGAACCCCAAAGTCAGAGTTAATTAGAATGGACATTGTCAAAAGGGTAAGCTTTTTTTATCTTAGGTACACCTGGAATAAAATAAGTGATTAACAGTTTTTATTATTTCTCTATTGTTGCCAGCTATCTGATTGGCTCAAACTGGATCACATGATCAAGTATAAAAAGTCTTCTAAACTGGATGTTTCTATTTTAAGCTTCTAAAAAATTTAATAAACTTGCTGTTTCTAAAATTGGAAACTTCTGTGAAGCAACAATAGTGCTGACGTTGACGTCACAGTAGTCTTTGTAAACTGGATGTTTCTAAAAATAGATACTGCAGCTGCTATTCGTTACTGTGACGTCATAATGCGAATGACATAATAATGCCTTATATGAGAAAGTATTGAGTATTAGAAACACAGATTTTAAGACATTTCTTATTAACTGATAAAAAAAATAATAAAACAATTGTAGCCTTTTGATTCGGTACAATCCCTAGATATATAGACCTTAGAGAAAGCATACTTCGTGCTCGGTCAATATGCTTTCTCTAAGGTCTATATGTCTAGGGATTGACCTCATCAAAGGGCTATAATTGTGTAATAGAAGAAAATGAGAATACATGGGGTACATTCTTTGTGAATCAATAGTAGTTAATACATGTATTACTACATGTATGTACATATGTCACTTAAATGTATCTGTAATTTATTTTCAGTTAAGAAAATTCAAATGTATATACATGGGTGACAGATGCATGTACATATGTATATAAAGTAATACATGTATACATATACAAAAAAAATCAAAATATTTTGTGCAGTTCTAATAGAATGAACTTTCTGTAGAACTAATCCATGGACAATATTTCAGGTGACACATGTGGATCCCACACTCCCAAAATCTGAGATTGCTCACTTCTCTCGCCCAGGCTCAGCATATGTGATAAAATCCCAGCCCTTACATGGGAACAATCCCACAGATACCAATATGGCCATGGCTTCTATGAATGGAGATGTTCTAGCAGGTCTTCCTGAGGAACCAGAGATTCCTAGTTCAAGGACACCACAAATTAATCTAGCAGTGTTCAACAACATGTGATTATGTATCTCATTAAGCTGTTTGCACAATATATTATTATTAGAGTTCATTTTTAAACACCATTTCAAAAGGAAAATGTAATACATCAATGACTGTGAAAGTTGGAAAATGCTAATTTTATGTAGAAAGATCTCTGTAATTTTTATATGTTTTATATTATATTAGAAAGGGCATGTTGATTAACCTTAAAACCCTGTTAATGTGTAGTTTGGTGGCAGGTTATTTTTAGTTTCTTTTGTATAAATTAAGGTACATTCAAACTTTGATAACTCAATCAAATGCATATACATACAGCTGAACTGCAGTATCTTGAACATAGATATCTCAAATACCATGGATAAGTTGAAATAATTTGGAAGTCCCAAGCACTTTTTCTTTCATTATTTTACCCTTAATATCTCGAACCCTCGGATATCTTGAAGTTTTTTATGGTCCCATTGAGTTCGAGATAATGAGGTTAGACTATACTTGTCAATAAATGAATGTATCTTTAATTTGGTAAGTTATGTAGAACCAATAACTTATATTCACTGCAAAATTTAAGTCTGGAGATGGTGAAGTTTGGCTTAATTTGGATTTTGTTATTTGTGATGAACCAATTATTATCAGTAGACTTAGAGAGTGTCATATACGCAGTCTTCTGTTTTAGTAATCACACCGTTTTCTCAGAGTCAGTGTCCAAAAATTTTATTTATGTTTTCATTTGTTACATGTATGTTTTAAATGCACCAGTTTATTCATTATTACAGCCGATATACAATGTACAAAATTAAAAATTGATAAAAATGTGAAACATGAATAATTTGTAGTTGTACATGTACATGTTATAATTTTTTTTTTTTAAAAAAGAGACAATTTGATATATGTACTTAGTCCACTTTTGTAAAACATCCACTTTGTATTGCAATTATAATCTTAACATTATAGTCCTTCCATTTCTTTAAAAGAATTTGCATGTTTAAAACTTTGGAGATTCATGTTATTATAGCACAGTTATGCAGTAGCAAGTGGAGATTCATGTTATTATTACACAGTTATACAATACCAATTAATAATAACCATACAAAGCAATTTGTTGAGGGGGGGGGGGGGGGGGGGGGGCATGCCCATGTTTTCAACGGTGTTCAGAGGATAAAAATATGACAAAACATTTGTCACTTATAAAAACAAAGTATCAGCATATTGTTTTGTATATTAGCATATAGATTTGTATATTTGCATTCAATTTACACCGGTAACACTTTGTTCTATGTGTTGGAGTTTGTAGTCGTAATCATGGAAATGTGACACTACATGACTGTATGTTTAGTTTTATTATTATATTTTTTTCATATGGATTTAAAATGCAATTTGTACATTGCCATGTGTGGCAGTTTGTTATTTTTATGAATTTATTTGCTTTCAAAAAAAATAAATAAATAAAAAAGAAAATGAACTTGTTTAATGAATGGTATTTATTATCACCAATTAAGAAGTATACACAGGGAAACGAAATTGTGAAAGTCATGTGTTGCATGTGCAGAGATTTTAGAAAGGTTAACTTTAACTTAATAAGAGAAAAAAATTACTTTGTTGGCTTTAAACATATTTAAGAAGTATGCGCATAATCAACTATTATTAATATTTTTCCGGAAAAATCAGGTTTGATCGATTCCTGTTCTTTACTACAATTTTCTCAAGATTTCTCAATTATTTTAGAGTTATCCCGCTTGGTTCAAAAATAAACATTGAAGGTAATCCCTATTTTGATATGCTAAGTGTTAGGGTTATCAGGCGAAGTCCGAAACTGATTCATAATTTATATATCGTGTTTGTCCCAGGGTTCACGACCCACTTATTTTCATCAATGAGCAATTCGCCCAAACCAAAAGTTTATGTCACTCGCAGAGTTCCGCAAGATGGGTTGGAGATCCTGCGACCACATTGTGACATTACTCAGTGGGACAGCGAGAAACCCGTCCCCAGAGCTGAACTCATTCGGCAAGTGGCCGGAAAGGATGCATTGTTTTGTTTGCTGACCGATAAGATTGACGCTGAAGTTTTGGACTCCGCAGGTATGGCTTAATTCCTTGTTTGTCGATTACGATGTACCTGCAACTGTATTTACAATTTTAATGGGCGGATCTAAGATTACCATGCCACCGCGATGAGTTTGTAACGCATAATTCCAGATCTTATAAATTTTCAGCATATCACTATATGTACTTTGGTAACAGGCACGCAGTATCGAAAAAAAACTTTGAAAAGTTAAAATAAAATCTTCACAATGACAAGGTTTTGTAATTTCGGAACTCCACACACACACACCTTGGCATTGTGAGGATGAAAAATAATGGGATGGAGAGGTTCCAACTTTTTTTTCACAACCCAAATTTTAATAGGCCTAATACTTTACCGCATGGTATATGTATTAACTATACCTCAACAAAAAGATATACTGTGATCCAAGAAAAATAAATGCAAACAAGAACGTCTTCAGTAGAACTTTACAATCCTTGTTTACGGTATGTCCAAGATGTCCTAGAGGAGGAAAGGGGTTTAATTATGAAAAGTGGAAGCTAGTGTAATAAAAATCCTCAACGGCCTAAAATGCAAAGACCAGTGGCCCTTTTCATAAAAAATCTTACGCCTAAGACAAAAATTTTCCAAATCTCCAACAAGCAACTGAGCTGTAGTATGTCACAAAAAATCTAATATTTCTATTACGTTATCTAGATTACATTGTAAATAATATTTTAGAAAAAAAAATAACAAAGAGATACAGATATATATGTCAAATTTTCATCTTAGTCGTAAGATTTTTTGTGAAAAGGGCCACAGGTTCGTAGCAACGGTTTCATACGTGGGATGGGGAGGGGTCAACTTCCAAAAAAAAAAAATCTGACCCAAAAAAAAAACCTTATTAACTGTCGAAATCCTGTAATTTGCCAATGTTCCTCTTACAGCAACAAAAAAAGGGGGGGGGGGGCAACCAGCATCTAAAGGAAAATTTACTATAGCAAAAATACTATACTCAGAAAAAGGGGGGCTCCCCCCGCGCTCTACAGGCCCAGAGACAATTAAAAAAGAATATATCATTACATCAGTTGGAGTGCATCAACTTTCAATTATTTAAAATGTATCATGATTAAAGTAGCAATGCAATGCATTTATAACCTCACAATCAAATACGCGTGTGTTTTATTTCATTTTGACATTTAGGACCCCAGCTAAAATGCATCGGTACGATGTCAGTTGGATATGATCATATTGACATGGCGGAGTGTCGAGCGCGGAACATACCAGTGGGCTTCACTCCGGACGTACTGACTAACGCCACCGCTGAACTCACAGTCGGTCTTCTGCTTGCCACATCCAGGAGGCTTATAGAGGGTAAGATACTCCGTTGTTTACGAATAATTATTATATTTCTGTATGAACTTTTTGACTATACTTTGCCCCTTTTTTCAGCCTCCAAATCAGTTCGTGATGGTGGATGGGGAACTTGGGACCCATTATGGATGCTGGGTCACGGTTTGGAGGGCTCTACGGTTGGGATCGTAGGTCTGGGACGTATTGGAATCGCAGTGGCCAGACGACTGGCTCCGTTTGGTGTAAGTAAATTTCTATACAGTGGACATAATAGGAAAGAGGAGGCCTCGGAAGTATCTGCAGAATTTACAGATTTTGACACTTTACTTGAAAAATCTGATTTTGTGTTGGGATGTTGTGCGCTTACAAAAGAAAACCAAGAACTTTTTAACAAAAATGCATTTGAAAAGATGAAATCCAACGCGATATTCATCAACACAAGTCGAGGTGGACTAGTAAATCAGGACGACTTGTTCGACGCTTTGAAGAGCCGGCAAATCGCAGCAGCAGGTTTGGATGTGACGTCACCAGAACCCCTGCCGACTGACAGTCCGTTACTTTCACTTGAAAACTGTGTTGTTCTTCCGCATATTGGAAGTGCCACAGAGAGAGCGAGAGGTGCTATGTCCGCGCTAACTGGACGAAATATTCTAGCTTATTTACGTGGAGAAAGCATGCCTTGTCAAATAAAATGATATAATTATTGACAATAACAAGTTGTTAAGTTTATTTTTCCCCTTCAACCAGTGCTTTGTACATGTAGAGAATAATAAATTCCACAGAAAAATACACAATTCCTTTTCCAAATTTTAAATTAAACTTGCGATGTTTAGCTCTCTTAGACCAACAGTTACTGGTTGATACTGAAGATTTAAAGATGAATGTTTAAAACAATATGATACCAGTTTGAAAAATATGCAGTTAGTGCTAAGAACAAATGATAACTTCTATACCGCATGTACGTACAATCACTCAAATCAAAACTGTATACACTTTTTAAAGGTTGAGAAACTTGCTAAAAAGTCTAGATCTTGGGGTTAAATTACTTTAATTCAAAATTGAATACAACAAGCAGAGATAAAGTCAACAGTAAAATGAAATTGGAAAACATTTGGTTTGACGCAGCACTTCTTGAGTCGACGATAAATAATTTGAAACCACCATCCTTAGGTGGCCACACTGTGGTTGTGGTGGGTCGTTTTGTGACATCTCCCGTAACAGGTTGTTGGTTGGGGTCATTTGTTGCAGAGCCACTACCTGGACTCATGAGATGTGTTATGTTTTTAACAGCTGAAAGCAGTGGATATTTTCCTTGATTGCAGTATTTTCCCGTGAAATCGTCTAAATCCAGAGACCAAAACATGACGCCACTAAAGTTGTTGTTAACAGCGTACTGAACCTGCATGAAACATTCAGATTTTAAATTTACAGTTTCTATAATCTCATTAAAATTAAATATTTGATCATCGATTTTTATGGCATCGAGCTCTAGAGCTCGAACGTCATTTAGTTATGGCCCCGATCTTTTGCGTGACCGAATGTGTCAGTCGATGCATCCGCAAAAGAAAATAGTAATACATGTAGCTATAAATCAATTTCTTTGGAAATGCTCTCAATGGATAATAACTTGAAAAGAAAATTGCATCAATTATACCTACAATTAATTCTGTTACAAAACAAAGATTTTATGTTTATTTTGACACAAGAAAAACGTGATAGTTGTTGCGGATGAATTTCTAAAGGGCGCGTCGAATGACATGAATAAGGTTTCGGAACAAGAACAACCCAATAGGCAGTAAAACATTCACAAAATTACATAAACACGAATACTAGAAGACCTAAAATAATGAATTTCAAAATCTGAACTTGCTTTTACAATCTAATGACCAATTTTATCATTAAAACCGAAGTTATTGACCTGTTTTACTGTTACAGTATTTATCCATTTCCCAGTATACCCATATACCACGCTCGATCGTAATCGTAACAGAGCAGAGTTAGGTTGTGTAGATGCAATTACTAAAACAGCGCTTAGAAATTTGCAATTAGGAAAATATTATATAAATTTTATAAAATAATATATAAATTCTTCATAGTTCTTCAACTGACTGGAAAGAGATGAGTTTGATATTCAGAATTAATTTTAGACTGGCCTGCCTGTCTGATATGTCGGTGTCTGGTCAATTCAAACCAAGCTCTATTCGGATCATGACATAGAGGCCTAAGACTATAATAATTGACATTTTGTTTACAAAAAATTTTGTTAGGCTACCTGAATCATACAATTTACTTTTGCTTTCTTCAAATTCAAAAAGATCTTTTGACATGCATTGTTTTTCATGTTCGACGCCATTGAAGCCTTTCAGGCTTTTGATTTATATATTGCAATGAAGATCATTCGTTATATAATAACAAGAGGCCCAAGGACATTAACGGTCACCTATGTATAAAACAACAACTGGTAGATGAACTCAAGGTATATTGCCCAAATTCATGATCAGGGATCAGCAAAATAGTTAATCAAGCACTCGGTAATAAATCATAATTAGCAGATATACTAGTATTTACTTGTCTGTACTTGCCAGAACTAATCCACTAATGCATTTTCACCAGATAATTAATTGATATCAATAGAGCCCTGCGCATCACCAGAACATCTACCCAAGAGGCCATGAATTTCAGAGTTGTGGAAGGGGCATCATAAACATGCAGTTAGTTTTTCTATTAAATTCTTTTTTATAAAGAATTTATGCATTTTCTTTATATGTTCGATATAATTCTGCCCTAAGACCAGAAACCCTGACCCAAGGGCAATAAATTTCACCTTTCCGAAAGAGGCACCCTTGCTCATTATAACCATGCACTTAGTCTGCTTGCTTAATGTCTAGGGGCAGAGAAGAAGACTTTTTGAAGAATTTATGCATTTTAACTGTATGATCAACAGAGCCCCGCCCTAACACCAGAACCCCTGACCCAGGAGCTATGAATTTTCACAATTTTGGATGAGACTCCCTTGCTCATACAAAGCGCACAATTTTACAGGTAAAATGCAATCAATGGCGCTGTACATTATATAAAATTTAATAATACATTTTTAAAGAAAGTATGCATTTCACTATGTGATAAATAGAACCCCACCATAACACCACAACCCTTAACCCATGCAGGAGCCATGGATTTCACAATTTACATAGAGGGCTCAAAGCCTTATCCAATTATACCAACACTTTAACTACATGTACTTGATGTCCAGGAGTAAAGAAGTTTTTTAAAGTTTGCTTTAGTTTTGATGGTTTTGACCCCTTCTCTCAACCCCCAGGGTGCAGGGACCATGAAATTTGCAATTCTTGTTCCCCTTCACCCATAGATGCCATATGTCAAAATTGGCTCAGCTGTTCCAAAGATGTTCAAGTATCAACATACCACCCAGGAAGGATGACGCACGAAGACGGACAAAAATAGATAGCAATAGGTCTCCTGGGTGACTCAGTTGCAAGAGACTTAAAAACGGACTTCGGATACAGACTGAAGTTTTACATTGTTCTCAGTATATGTACACACATCACTTTATCAGTTTGGTGTGACGAAATTATCATGAGGTGTGTGATTTTTGCAGGTCACTGCACTGAAAATCCAAACTATTGATGAAATCGAAATATCCTTACTTTTGCAAATCACGTTTATCAAAAATCGGTGAATAACACGTGCTTTTAAACAAAGAAAAATAAAAATGTTAAAATCTAGAATTCAACAAACATATTCAGTATTAAGATCTTACAAACCTTTAAAACAATAGTATCAGGGTCTTCGTATCCACACCACTGAGACCTGTGATAAGAGTACTTCTGTTTTTGTTCCTCGTCGTACACTGTTTCATCTTTGCTCATCTGACAAATCTAAAAGTGAACGTATCTTTAAGTCATTCATTGATATTATTCCTGCATACTGTTTACACATAATAGCTTCCTTTTAATATACACTATGCTTATGAAAGAATGTGTCTGCTTTCTCGATATCTTTAAAAAAAATTAAATTACAATGTACGCATGTAACTTGCATATTTGTAAGTTTTCGGCTGCGACATTTGTTATACATGTTATAAATGATACCAGCTGTTACTCAAGGACTTATAATTTTATTTTGAGTATCCCTCAAGTACCTCAGGATACGCCATCCGTCCCTCCACTTTTAGTAATGGTCCTTTCATACCAGCTGCGGAAACTGCATCTCCTACACCGTGGTTGCTATTATTTACCAGGGTAAAACTTGACCCTGCACCATGCAGACCCATAACAAGTTTCTCCGGCGGGACCCCTAGCTCTAAATACTTGTTCATTGTCCAGTTCTGAAACATTATTATATTTACGTTATTTATTCATCTAACTTTGTTCAATTCCTTAACAGTCATATACGTGATGTAAAATATCACGTAAAAGTGCTTCGAGAAAATAATTTAAGCGTCGGACTTGCAATTATACTTCTCAGCTGTAAATTTTAATAATTTAGCTTTAAGACTAGTCGTTCAATTTTAGAATTTAGGATAATGATAGCATATTTTTTTAGCATACCTTATAGTGATATATTATGTGAATGATTGATATACCAACCTGGGATAAAGTAGTGTCGATACTTAAATCTGAATATCGGGAATAGAGTGGTGCCATGAAACCAGTGACGTGACTCCAGGGTCCAAAATAGTCGTAGGCCATTACATTGATGAAATCGACATACCTGTATATGGAAATTGATATTTATTTTTGTATAATATGTATTTGTACGTGAGGTAGTTAATGTAAATGAAGTATTTGTTTTTAAGTGGTTTAAATTTAATTTTGAAAATTTTTAAATGTTAAGATTTGTTTCACAAATTAATTAAGTATTGTAAAAAAAAAAAAAAAAAAAAAATTCATCATTACTGTGATAACAGTCCGATTAGGTTAACATACAATTTTTTTCACAGAAATCTCGAAAATCTGTTACACAAGTAGTTCAAATAAAAAAAAAACAAACAAACAAAAACCGCATTTGATGACATCAAATTATTCATTATATTGTCGAATGTTTATCAATATGATTAAAATCGGCCTTTTCACCTTCGAAATAAAATTGAACAATTATTGATAGTGACTTTGTCTCAAGATATCTTAAGTTTTACACAAAAATGCTTTTCGCTGAGCCTTGATATTGATATTTTGTACTAACTTGATTATTTCAGGCATATCATACGACTCCTCTATGTTATGCTTTCCAGGTGCTACTGCTATGGTAATAAGTTTCTCATCACTTCCGGTTTCTTTGGCTTTGGCAGCAAATTCGGACCTTAATTCCTAAATATACATGAATAAATAAAATAAATAAGTTGCTTCTCTTCAAAAAGGACTGCAATACGTGGACCATAGACATGTATGTTTCTAAACCCCCCCCCCCCTCGAAAAAAAATCTAAGATGTAAATAAATGATTTCTTTCTCTTGAAACCTGCAAGTTTTTCAACATGAAAATCTAAATGAAGGTCTAATTGCTAAAGCTGTAATAAAAAAAGCAAGGTCTGATCATCGATACTTGATCTTTCTTGTATACAGTCTTGACATCTAATCTCGGAATTCAATTGGGGGGGGGGGGGGAGGTGTATTCATTCATCACAATTACCCTGTGTGTGAAATGTTTTGCTCTAGCTCATTATTATAAAATATTGTCAAATATAAAGCAGTATCGTTTTCCTTGACAGGGCAGATAACATGAAAATTTTTCTAGGTGTTGCCATAGTTGAAGATTGCTTATGATCAGAAACTTGTTGCTGGAAGTCTGTCCTGCTTCTCTTTTAAAGCATAATTGTCAAATTGTTTTTACTGCAAGCTGCAAAGCCATTTAAATTCTTTCCCCCATAAAATGCTTGTACATGTACCTTAGGAACTCAACGTGTACGTTTATACATTACTATAGAGACTATTTATAGTTACCAATTAATATATTTAAGGAATGTTTTTATGTTTTGTGTGATTTATTGGTGTGTAAATTACACAGACTTGTCACGTAGGCATATTTCATGAAAAATATGCCTACGTGCAAGTCTGTGTGATTTACACACCAATAAATCACACAAAACTTAAAAACATTCCTTATATTTACATTTTACAAGTTAAAAAGAACTAATAATATACTCAATATTTAAATTTCTTGCTGCCCTATATCGTTACATTTTTATTAACGTCTCCGTAGCCTCATTGCGACGTCACTTTAGCGCGAGTTTCACCGTGTATATTTCTATGCGTGAGTAAACACAAAAATGACTTTCAAATCAATTTCACAGTTGGCTTGGTAGAAAAATACAGCAAATGTAAATATATGTATATACATGTCAGGCCCGTAGCAACGGTTTCAAAAGGGAGGGGGGACCTCCCAAAATTCCAATGAGAGTAGTCTGACATAAACCTTAAACGTTTTATAAATGAAAATAAAAACATGTATGATTTGCACATGTACGTGCATTACCTTAAGAAAAATCACGAATTCATTCTTGTAAATGGCTCCTGGAAATTCCCAGTCAACATCAATACCGTCAAAATTTCTGTCATTGATATAGATGTAGATATTTTGAGCGAATGATTTTATATTCTTATCGGATCCCATTATCACTTTAAAATTATCTGACGAAGTCTCTCCTCCAATGGACAAAATTGTCTTCAACTTTGGATTTTTCCGTTTAAGTCCTGTAAAATCAAACATAAGTCCCGATCCCGGGATTTTCCCATCATCCTCTCCTGGATATGCCCGCTCTATACGCAGTTTTTGTGGGTTTATATTTGCAAATGCATAAATTAAATGTGTGCACAAAAAGGGGTCCATATGTTCTTTAAGGTGAAACCTGGACTCCACCACGGCTCTGTTTTCTGACCAATTTGTATAGTAACACACTCGTTTGAATTCCTCTGCATCTATGAAAATAAAGATCGATCCATAATACGATTTTAAGAAAATATATGCGAGATTGATTTTTCTTTCACACATACACAGAATATTTATGCTACTGTCGTTTAAATGTAAAACATGGAGTATGATTTAAGGACAGATGATACAAACAAAAACATGGATGTGATACCTGGATATGGTATATATTTTTGGACATATTTTGATTGTAAATGATGCAAGTATCAAAGTTCAGTTGTTACATATGTATATTCATATGATTTTTTTTCAAAACGTTTGTTTGTATCATCTGTCCTTTAGTAATGTTCACCGTCTCTCTCTTCGCTTATATGACTTTTGATTTTTTTAAAGCTATAATGATTTTTAAAAAAGAAATCTAATAAATAATTAAAATGCAAGCAATTATTACACACTTTGCGGGGCAAAATGTGAATGAAAATGCCGATTAACTTGGTAATTTAATCAGGCCAAAAGAGACTTGGGGGAGACCATTATAGAAGGAAATGAAAGAGAACAACTGGACATGGGGGCACGTCTAAAACAACTAGACATCAGGACTTGGGACAGGTCCAGAGGTGGACACAAGACAGACCAACATGGAAGTCTCTGGTGACGGCCCTAAATGCTGACCAGTACCGTGAGTACGTCACCTTACGATGTTACTCAATAATCTCAGTAAGAATTATCTCTCTTATTAAAGGATCAATGAACCTTATTCAATTTTACATGAGACTCTTCCTCATTACAAAACATCTGAATATGAATTCCAATAAAACCTATGTCAAACTGAATAATATTGGGGGGGGGATATACAAACTTCCGGGTGTAATGTTTATGTTATACATGTAGTTCTTCGTTTTGCTTGCAAAAAATAAATTGATTAATTAAATTAACATTGTCAGAACACTCACCAATATAAAGAATGACTGCGATCCACAATAAGACTTTTAAAGCAACTTTCTTCAGGAAAGAAGTCATTGTATTCAATTTCTGTAACACAAAAATAGGTGAATGTTTGAATATGTAGTATGCATATAGTCAAACGACGCCTTTGTTAATGAATTTATACGTAACCATAGGAATGATTAATTTGAATTTAATTGTGTGAACTTGTCGAAAAGCCAGAGGTAGCGTCACAAATACTTTTTTTACGTAGATTTATGTACAATTGTCGTTATCGAGAGATAACATATTGTCAAAAATGCAAGTTCAGTGTACATTGACTGATTAACAATTTTCACATTTAAATAAATAGAATAAAATTATTTAGTTTAATCATGATATCGATATCCAATATATGATATTATATTCAAACTTATGTACTATCACTCTTTTAGATTAAAAAATATTATGAGATAGTATTTTGGTATTATATTACTGAAATATATTACATCCTGTAGTCCATGCAGTGAATATTCTTTTCTCAAACTTAATTTCACAGGTTTCCAGTTGAAACAAAATTTTTAAAAAAATTAAAATATAAATACTAAACATCTTACATTTTTAGTGGCTTTGATTGGTTTAATATCCTACTTGTGTATCAACAATTACACATTTAACTTCTGTTTCCTACTCAATACTGTCGTCTGCGAGCTCATCCCTGTGTTTGCATTGTCGCGTTGTCACGCCTCAACAATGATAAGGCTTACCTGTCACAAAATTTGAATCATCAAAATGACCAATTACTTACTTTTTAAAAAGGCTTGCTCGTTGTTATAAAGAAATCTTTGTTACAGTTTCTTGTGATATATCTAATTTTTAATTTTGAACTAAGTGTATAATTTGCATAATTTTATCACATCTATATACTGGGAGAATAATCAGATCAATGCAACGTTAAATGGCATCGGTTTGTTATATTTTTTCGGACATTTTTAACAATTTGTCAATAAAATTGATTAAGTACAAATGTTTTTTATGTTCATGCGGATTCTATCGACATGTTTCTGATGGGCGTTTCAGCCTTTAGCCTTGGTGATAAGAACATTTGTTGTGCCTTGGCGGAAAACAGTGGTCGAACATACCATAGTATCCAAGACATGTACAGTAATATATGCCTTTTATTGCTCATACACTAGTAAATGTACAAGTAAGAGTTTGTAACACAAGATAAAGAAATATACAGGCCTGTGAGATTTTTTACGCGGTAGAGAGCGGGGATAGGTAGACAGCTTAAATGGAAATTATCTTGATGAAAAAGGGGGGATACCCCCAAGAATGAGGACCATAGATTGTCACAGTTTTACTTCGGAGTGGGGGTGGGGGTATAGGATTAAAATTACGTATTCGACACATAACACGTAGAAAAAATAGTATTTGGTGCTAGGAGACATTTTGAGGAGCCTATCGATCGATATACCTGACACAGCTTTTCGTTTGACCCGACTTTAAGGTAGGGGGATCTCCAAAATACCCTTTTCCATGGCCATGTACTTTAAGAGTCAGAAGCATTACATATCTGTCAATACATTAATTTTAGTCAGTTTACCTGAAATTCATTTCGCCTGGTTAAAGACAGTGGCTGATTTTATTATCAAGACCTTCAAATACAACATGTAGGACAATTATTTCAAAGATCATGTATTTAAATAATATTACCTCTAGATAAAAGGTACTGGTTATCTAATTAGGAAACAATAAAACTGAAATTCGAGCACCTTTCTAAAACCTGAACTAAATATAGGCCGACTCGGAATTAATTCCCTCGATTTTGCATGCTTACAAGTTTTTTAACATCTGTGTTCTAATTAAACATTCGCTCCGATATAAATGAGCTGTGTCCTAGTTCTCGTTAAGTTGTCTTTCTTCTTTCGATAAGATTTCTCCCATTTCACACAGACAGCATTTTTATCTTTGGATGGAGAGGAGAACTACAGGTCTGATAGTTCTACTTCGTTGAGTTTCTATCTATGCGATCCAATTTAAAAAGATTTGCCTTGAAATCTAATTACTTGAATTAAATCACATCCGAAATTTATTTCAAACGTATGTAAAGTTACAAAGCTAAGTAAAATCTTTTATTCTTGTATTTTAGATGCAATGAAACATAATCTTTTTTTTTATTATTATTATATATAGTTTTTAATAATAAATCGCACATAGATGAGACATAAAATTTGCATTTAATAGTACATGGGTATACATGTATGTATGAAAATAAATATACAACTGTATCTGAGTTGTAGCTTAAAACAATATTATAAGTTTTAATTTCAGACTAACAATACTTATCTGACAATATTATGATAATCATTATTTATGAGTTCACTTTATTATTATTCGGATATTCCACGTGTTGTTACATTGTCTTCTCATTGTTTAAATTACAGTCAATTACATACTAGTATGTAATATCTTATCATATGCAAATTAACAAACTTACTTTAAAAAAATAAAAAGAAGGGACTCACTTTTCTTATTAGAAAAAAACTTTCAAAAAAAACACCAAACTCTCATATTTTATTTAGCCACAGGGTGCTGAAGCTCACCTGTGTTCAATAGATTTTACCCTCATTGTCATGAAAGCAAATATTAAAACCTCGCAATTGCTGGATAAAAGCCTGTCTTCATAACGATTGTATTCTCGTTTATATTAAAGCTGATGTAAGGTTCAACACCAGCAGCATCTTTTCCTCTGTCCCACTATTTTTCTGACAGAAATGTCTAAATAACAGAAGATTAACGTTTTCCACACAAAAATTATATTCTGCATGGAAAATTTTGCATGTTTGCGATCAATATTTTTATTAATTCTCAACCAATTTTTGTAGGGCTGTTGGGATAAGATATTTTTCAACATTTACTTGCTGGTGCCCCTTTTTTGTTTATTTGTTTCTTTCTTTCTGCATGTTGTGCAAACAAACATATACTTGCATACATTCAATTGTTGATTTTTAATAAAGCATTTTGGTAAGTTTATTTTTATTATACATTTTGCCTAAAAATTAAGAATACTTGATTTCACTCTGTTTCACTAGAAAATAATTCTGGAGATTTATTAAAAGGTATATACACTACATTGTAACTATATCTATCCATGGATCACAAGTGTTGACATATAAGTTCCACTGCAACATTTTGCCCTAGACCTACTTGTATGTTTAAAAAAATCTAGATTAATATTCTTAAACTATTTTCTTCCTGATGAATAGCATATATGCAAATAGTCGGATTAAAAACACTTTGCAAGAGTATTAATATCACATATACAAATAGACTAACACATTTCATAATCTTGACCCTGAGCTTTCAACAGAGCAAAAATTCAACGTCAAGTACATTGTATGACATCCTACTTGAAATACAGTTTTTTTTTTCTTTTTCAGATTTCCCCCACATAAATAATCTATATTTTATTACCACAGTGACTTCTAATCCTTAAATTTCTGCTATAATTTTTCTATAGTAGCAAGATGAATATGTACCTCCTGGAGCCTGGTGAGCTAAAATTTAGTTGTGCATACCAACTAAAATGCAAAAGAGGCATGACCACATCATCCGGAGGCTGGTATAAAATCTCTTGTCTGCGGCCGACAGCCAGACTAAGTCTCTAAACCAGCCATGAACGCCTATCTTCTTATCGCCCTCTGTGGTGCCTTTGTGGCAACAGCCTCCGCTAGTGATCTCCAGGAGCAAATCGACAAATTTGCGGAAGAGCTCTATAGAGTAAAAGCAGAAATAGCCAAATTGAAGGACAAAATAGAGGCTGCTCGCATTACCGAGGATGAACACAGTAAGTTTTTGTTTTCTTACTTTATGATTTGTCGTGTTGAGAAAATAAAAGTTGCGGAATTGTTAGAAAAATATATTTTTTTTTTTTATTATTTTCGGTATTTTATTAAGTTTGTGCTATTTTCTTCACCAAATTGAAGAGGAAAAGTCACTTGAAAGAAGTATACTGTATCTTTAGAACGTAATTAAGATAAAAGTATCTTTCCTATATCACTTTATTATTCTTTCACAGCCGACACAACCTGATAGAAAAATTGATGAACCAAAGCACATTATTATTCAAGTTCAGAACGAGAAAGCGTTTACAGTCAAACCTGACATGTCTGTACTTTAGCGCTTTCCTGTTAAAGGGAGCTGTTAAATTTTCTCTCAAGAATTTTTCATTTATTTCGCCTGCATTCAGTGACTCCCTGTCTAACGTGACATGCGACCCTCATTTTCCGCCCTACAGCAGAGAAATCAAAAGGGGCTAATTGTTCAACATGATTGCAAAGCTTGAAATGTTTACCTACAACGGTTCAAATATTATTATAGTTTTTTCAGACAGACAGAAAAGGTCAGACAGGATAGACACATTTTGCTCTCGATCTTAGGGATTATAAAAAAGTTGTATTGATGTGCAAATGACATTTTAGTATTTTATTTACTACCAAAGGCGCCATCAGGCAATAATTCAATTTTATATTTACTGTTGTAGAGGAACATGAAAGACAGAAGCGCCATGGCTACTATCAATTCGCCCCATCAGCCTTAGCCATGGCAATGGGACCCCCGGGACCAGCAGGTAAGATTTTTTGCGAACTCACTGTAATAAGGATCGAGCTCATGCAACTGGCTTTGGAATCCTGTTTTGCTTGTGACACCACATTCAATATTCATGACTTCTGAAAATTTACAAAGTATGATTTAAATCTAATTTAAAACAGTATTTCAAAAATGCCAGTTAATGTTATTCGTAATCTCATCACGATACCTACGTTATTTTTATTTTTTTCTCTCCAATAAACTCTTCAGGTCTAACTCCTTTTGAAAGGAGAGATGACTTCCTAAGAATATAATCCAAAAACTCTCTTCTTCAGTGTTAATCATTTACCCAAATGTTCGTTCATTTACAATGATTTTCACATGTTAAAAGAAAAAGAATTGACACAAACATTTACTTGCATTTTCCTTTGCTAATACAAGTATTTTTGATAATTGTTTATGATATTTTACCCAAAACATTAACATTCCATTTTCATAATTGTATCGAAATTAGAATATATTTAATATCTTTTTAAATAAAAGGTAAAAATCCGAACAATTTACCATGTAGCGTATATAGTACTTTTATTGTTTGTATATATTTTCATTTCTTAAAGTATAATAATGGAATTATTTTTTATTTTGCCTACATAGAATACAGTGTGATATTCTGACTTTAAAAAATATCGCTTCATTATGTTTTAATATATAAATTTCAAGCACGTAGCAAGGGTTTCAAAGGGGGGGGGGCTTCCCCCAAAAAATCTGACATGCAAAAAGAAAAAGAAAAAAAAATTACATGTAAAACAAAACAAAAAAAACCTTGTCAACCGTACAAATCCTGTAATTTGCCAGTGCTAGATCTAACAGTGTTTGTGTGTGTGTGTGTGGGGGGGGGGGGGGGCAACTAGAATATAATAGCATTTTTATATATGTCCCATTTATTTAATTTCATGTTGTGACAATAAATTATTGCTCTTTCTTTTTTACTGTGTCATATTTTCTTCATATCTTGATAAGACATAAAATTAGGTTCTAAGAAAGTAAGAATCGCTTCATGCTTTAAACTTTATCCTAAAATCTAAAGCTTTTATTGTTGAACAAAATCAATCTTGGGAATTCTTATTTTTGTTGAATGAAATTTATAGTCATTAGGTCTTAACAGCATAGTATTTAGAAAAGGCTTTGTGAAGCAGTTTTGTTTTAATTTGTTTATATAATAATAGAAAAAATATCTTTAAGGGCGGGGAGGCCTCTTAAGGTTCATTGATACTCTGATAAGAGAGATATATAACTCTTAATTGGATAAATTCTATTTATGCTTTTATTCCTTTATAGATTTGTCAAGTTGGATTGTCTTTTTTTTTGTCCAATTTTACCTCGCAAGCTATGCTAAAATTATTTGCATTGTACTTATAAGGTACATTTCTTTTGAAAAATCATTAAAGAAACATTTTATATGAGTGAACTGAGGGATTATGAATCTTAAATAATTCATCAAACATTTTAATATTTATATACTTTTCAAAGGACCACAGGGACACCCAGGGGTTCCAGGAGAACAAGGTGGAGAGGGGCCAAGAGGTGCTCCGGGTGTGAAGGGGGAGATCGGTGATCAGGGAGCCCAGGGAGTGAAAGGAAACCCCGGCCCACCCGGAGAGAAAGGACCTGAGGGTGAACAAGGGGAAACTGGTCCAGTAGGTGCTGAGGGGCAGCCTGGATTGATGGGACCCCAAGGGAAAAAGGGACTGACAGGTGACCAGGGACCACCAGGCGCTCCAGGTATGTTCCTTTCCATGTCTTTGACAAAGATGAAGTGGTACATAAACCACACACAGGCATGCAACAGCATACTGACAGTCAAATTAAGTATCCATATAAAACGAATTTTGGTAGAGCGTTTCAAATAATTTATCTAGAATATTATTAAATACAACTGGAAAGCCTCGCTAATCGCTCTACATGTACTTCTCAGTCTGTTTATGGGGAGCGGTCATATTTAAAATCTAAAATGATATCTTTTTTTATAACGGTATGATTTATCTTAACAAAAGGTTTTCCTGGATACCAGGGAGAACAGGGAGACATTGGATTAGCTGGTCCACCAGGTCCAGCCGGACCACAGGGATTGCAGGGTGTACAAGGATACACAGGCGCTCCAGGACAGGCTGGAGCAGTCGGTGAAGCAGGACCACCAGGTGAACCCGGTCCCTCAGGTCTTAGAGGACCAACAGGACCTCGCGGAGAATATGGCGTAGCCGGAAAACAAGGGTATGCTGGGTACCCTGGAAAACGCGGAGACAGAGGATACACAGGATACCCAGGACAACGTGGTCCAGCAACGACGTATGTTTACGCACCAGCCGCTGCACGATATTATGCCGTGCGAGCACCAGCACGTTCAAGCTCTAAAGGGGTACAATACGCTCCAGTTGTAGCTGCACCAAAAATGGGATATGCCCAGGCGGCACCAAACTCCAAAATGCAATATGCTCCAGTGGTATCCAAAAGTGCACAGTATGCACCTGTTATGAGCAAGTCCATGGCACCAGCAGTGTTTGCTCCCAAATCTATGGGATATGCTCAGGCTCCTCAGGCATATACCAAAGGATACTAAATAAAGACTTAAATTCCCTTGATTCCTATTTTGTTTTTTTTTTTATTAGGCCATCTTGTTGACAATTGAAATTATTTCCAATTTATGATCATAATTTTTAAAATACTGATTGTTTTACGGGAAATTTGAAAGAAAAAAAATAAATTCGATTAATTTTTTTTATTTTGTGTGTTTCGCCTTTCCATGTATAATTATAATAAATTACAAAAGTATGATGCTTACAGATAAGCAATAAAAAAGTGTGGATAACAACTTACAGTTTAAACTCCCACTGAAACAATAAAATTATATGGCACATTTCTAGTTATTCTATAGCTAAGCCGACTGCGAATTTTCAATTGTGAAATCTTCATTTAAATTATAACCTGTAAACATTGTCAAGTAAATACTTCATCGAAACAGAAGCATGTGCCCTAAAACTCGTATACATATTCCATTACCTTCAGCTTCAACTACATGTACTATATATAGGGTTATTTCCCCCTTTCACATTTATTAACAATTTTGCCCCGTTTTAAATTCGCCCGGTCACAGTTTTCTTTAAAAAAGAAGATGGGTGAACAAAGCGTGCAGAATGCCTATAGTTTCAGATATTAATAAAATCATATTCAATTTGTGATTTAAGTATTTAAAATAAAGTTCTCATTATTGAAATTTATGAAATTATGATTAACAAAACTTTTCTGAGAAAAAAGATCTCGGAAAAAATTATTCTTTTATTAAAAAAAATAAAATGGTATTCGTGGGATTCGAACCCCTTATCAATAAAAATCCGGAGCTCATATTGATTCGAGACTAACACGCTAACCACTACGCCACGCAGCTCCTGACGAATTGTGGCATTTAAATCATATCTGTGATATAACCCTTGACTTAATGGACTTCAAGTATTTCTCGGAAAGATGCGAATGCTTTGTCACAAAAGTGTACTTTTAAGGTATAGTGGGTCTTTGCTCCATGTTTTTGTAAACCAAAAAATGTATATTTTTATGCAGACTTTTAGGATCAACTTTCAAAAACATGGAGCGAAGACCCACTCATATCGAAAAATTTTCTTAAAGTGTGAGAAAATGATCCTTTTTGTACTCTTTAGTGTGTGTGTGCTATTTCGTAGGCAAATAATTTCAGTCTTTGTGAGATTTATGTAAATTGTAGAGATTTAGCATAAAATATACTTTTATGTTAGATGAAATATCAAAGAAATTTTTATATAATCGAGATTTTATTTTTCACTTCATGTTTGTCGCACTATAGGCACTTCGCCCGCCTTGTTCACCCATCTTCTTCTACTCTCTTCTTTGAATTCGCCCCTTCTTAAATTCACCCACTTGTGTGCAGGGCGAAAGGGGCGAAAATAAAGCGGAGACAAAAATTTCCTTGTATACAGTATTGCATGTTGGTACGTAGCAATGCAGATGAAAGGAAACAAAATTAATAAATACAATCGATGTTTTGGTCCCAAACACCTGGTGCCTGTGGAATGAAGTAAAAAAATACTCTCGCAATGAGGTTTACTCGTGGAATATAGCAAGCAAAATGTTTGAGTACTAAAAAAAAAGACTACAATTGTATCAATTTGTAAAAATTAGACAATTCATGTCACTGGATCAAGGGTCAGGTCCCAAGGTTGTGCTTCATGTAATTACGTTGGTCACATATATAATTTTAACTAAAACTAGATTAAATCCCGCCCAAATGCGGGTATTGAAATATTTCCTCTTTCCAGTTCTAATGACAGTCTTCAAGCAAAAAGAGGGAGGTTGACATCTTATGCTTCATATCTATAACTTTTCATATCAACTTAACACGGATCCGCGTTTTCTGGGGGGGGGGGGGGGGAGAGTCCAAGGTCACTTTTAGTTGGTTTAGTATAGGTCTATACATTAAATAACTCTACAAATTCCAGGGGGTGGTCTGGACCCCCCCCCCTCTCCCAACGATCCCCCCTCTAGATCCATGTATGTAAAACATAACTTATTTGGGAAAATAAAGAGATATAAATCTTTAATTTGAAAAAAAATATTTCACCATAAAAATTAACGGAAAATGGAAATTTATTTTCAAAACATCTTCCCCCGCGAAACAACAGATCCTTTCTTTCAGTTTTTATTCATTCCAAAGGTTTTGTTGTCTCACCGGGGGGGGGGGGGGCACGTGTTTAAAGATTAAAAACAGGAAAATAGTCATTTTATATTACAAATTTTAAATGCATGAGATCACAAATAAAAATTGTACTTTTTCACTTTAACAATCTCATATATTAAATTTTACATAAGTTAAAACATACGGTGAGATTTAAGAGTCATTTATCCATTTTCATTTTCATGAGTATTTGAAAATGGTGATGTTTTCAGCCTGATTTCAATTGATAAAATTTTCTACCCCCTTATGAAAGGAGTTGTAAACTAGATGCTGTCATGAGACAGTAATACCCGCACTAAGGTGTTTGCCTATAAATGCACACTCCTTCATATTGGGCATACCAAGGAAAAAGTCCAAATAATTCTATAATTTACACAGTACATGTATTCGTCAAATCGAGCATAAAATGCTCAGGTGACCATGTGACCCATGAACCTCTTATACGCATTTCATATACTTAATTCATTACCAGTATGAAATAACAGAATTTAATTAATGATGTAAATTAGGTTTTGATAAAAAGGGGGGGGGGGATATAAATTTTTGGCCCATAATTGGAACTTTTTAAATTTATTTTCTCAACAACAAATAATATTATTTTAGTACAAAGCGTTTTTGATGAATTTATCAAAATGTGCAAACTTTTTTTAGTATTTGATTAGGCAAAAACCTCCTTGAAAAGCCATACCCAATCAATTTTGTCACCCCCCTCCCCCAACACACACACACAATTTGCCTGTTTTTGGAAATAGGCCTAGATGGCAAAGTTATGTTAAAACATCGTTTGTTATGATAATTTAAAATTTGTTCTTGTACTGTACATGTAACAGTATGTGAACACCTTTTTGAAAATTTCTACATCACATTGGGCTTGTGTCACCCTACCAGTGCTAGTACTAGTTTTACCATTATCATTTTTAGATTGCACATGCCATGTGACATGGTGCAGTGTTATATGTATATCAGTGGAAATTAATTCATTTTGTGTTTTAATTGGATTATATTTCATAAAGTTGACAGGACCTATGACAGTCGGTAAGTACAAGTTTAAGTATAGACTGGGGTAAAATAAACCGAAATGCAAATGGTTACCGTAGGTTAAAGTTTAAAAAGGATCAAAGATCATCGGCAGTCTCCTATGCAGAGTTATCGTTCGTTTCTCTCTCAGACACGGAATGTATGAGCCGATGGTAGAGAGTGGATCATCGATGCCACAATGGACGAATTTCACATTCTGAAGAGTTATCTCCCGTTGTCGACATTACATTCAGTTACAGGCACAGATCCAGGAATTTTTTTTCCTGGGGAGGGGGGGGGGGGTCCACACCTCAGTCCAAAAAAATTCCAGCCCAGAATTTCCTGAGGAGCAAAAAAAAAAAAAAACAAACAAACAAAATAAAAACAATGATGGTGGGGTCCATGTTTTTAAAGGGGGAGGGCATCCAAAGTCATTTTTTATTTGCTTCTGTTAATCAGTATATAGTCCTATTTAAATAACTCTGCAAATTCCAGGGGGGGGGGGGGGTTCCAATCTCCCTAGCCGCTCCCTGTCCCTGAAATGACAAATGATCATGTGACTCCTAAATAGTAGAAAACTTTCCCATTTGACTATACATAATTTTGTTTCTTGTGTTATTATGTTATGTACATCTAATGGTTTAAGGTTATGAACCCCTGGAGATCATCCCCACTCTCTTAATGAACTAGAAATGTTCATGATATGACTACATCAAATTAAATAAAAGTGCATCAATGATAAGATTACTTGACATTTCATTCATGAATTTGGGTCAACCCATGTACCCTCCTAGAATTAGGAATGAAAATCATTCAAAGAGATGGACCATTAAACTATTTGTATATATTCACATTTTTTTTTTATGTCAAACCAAAGTATTAGACTAGTTTGCATACATGAACAAACAGGGGTCTGGGAAGGGGAAGGGGCAAGGGGAAGGAGTTATCTCTTTACGTCTTAATTGTTGAAAACTTCTAAAATGAATGTTAACCTCAAATCCGACTTGTACGTCTTCATTATTTTTAAGTGGTGGTGTCTCCGTATGAGTGAAAAATTCCCAAGAGGGACATTTAACAACAAACAAACATTAATGACTTAAAAAACACAATATACATGTACATCTTTATTAGTCAATGGATATACTTCTGATCATATCTCTAGTTCTCCCTTGAATCAGAAATGATGATATAAATATTTTAAGAATGATTAAGAGTTGAAAAGGTTGTGCATTTTAAAATTCACTAAGCTCTGTGGTTGAATTAGTATACCAGTTAAGCTTATTTTGCTACTCAAAGCACCTTGATTAACTATTTTTAATCATACTGTTTTCTGAAATGTGAAGTTTTTTCAACATGGATACAAGTCATACCTTTTCAGCTTCTGAAAACAATGCATGAAAAAAAAACTGCTTTTCAAATACTGTAACTCTTTCCTAGTACTTGTGATCATAAGTTTTTAGCTCACTTGAGTTTTTCTGGTTTTCTGATCACATTTTGTTTGTCATCCATCTGTCCGCCTGTAAACTTTTCACATTTTTGTCTTCTTCACTAGAACCGCTGGGCCAATTTCAACCAACCCTGCCACAAAGCATCTTTGGGTAAAGGGGATTCAAGTTTGTTCAAGTGAAGGGTCACACCCTCTTTCAAGGGGGGATAATCAAGAATTAGTGAAAATTTGGTGATATCATTTTAAAAAAGTCTTATCAAGAACCACTGACTGGGCCCAAAAAGTTGAAACTTTCTTTACACAGACTTAGTGTAGCTTCAAATTTGTTAAAACTATGACCCACTGGGGTAGGGTGGGGCCACATATGGGGATCCAATGATTTACATAGAAAAATGCAGGGGATTTTTTCCATCATAAATCTTCTTCTCATGAACAGCAAGGGCATTATTGTCGTCCGTTTTCACAAAAGGGACCTAGGGGACATTAAATCTCATTTGTCTGTCAGTCTGTCCGTCTGTCACAATAAATTTAACCTTGGTCATAACTTCTGAA